AGAAGGTGTCCTCACCAAGCCGAAGTGCGCTTGTTATCTTTTTATTCTATTTGTAGAGAACAACGCAGAAGTTCGTGCTATGCTCGGAAGTTCGCTCACTTCAACAGTCTGAGCTTTGCTTTAGGCCGATATCAGGTCATAGCCAGAGATGTGCAAGGAATATACACAATGATAAGCAAGTAAGTGCAAAGGACAACTGCAACGTCGATAACAAATGTCTTTCACTAACAAATCACATGACCAAAAGAGAAAAGATAAGCTGAAAATCATAATATACTACGTATCTCACCATTCCTTCATCTTCAGAAGTCTCCTCATCCGTAGCAGTTCCTTCTTCCTCGCTGCTATCCACTTCCATCTTCTCTTCCTTAGCCAGCTGTTGGAGTTTTTTAAACTTCCCCATTTTGCCGACTAAAGTGGAATGAAAATGATCGAAAACTTCACGCACAAGCTTGCCAACAAAACAACTGAAAGGGAAGCAGAAGAGTAAACCCAATTCGACTCGCGAGCGATCGAGCAGAGACAGGTAGGGCGAGAAATAAAAAAGGTGGTCCGCAATGCTGCTCACGCGAAGTTGCGGACGCCCTATTGGGTTAATTTTATGAGCTGGCAGCGTGTGTTGCCGGGGATTTCACGTTCTCCTTTTTCATTTCTTTCTAGTGTACTAGTGATAGGTGTTTGAAGCGGTGGGATGGTATGGCCTCATGTGTTCACAATTCGGATCTCTAAAGCTACCCGTTTACGAGGTGATTCCATTGAATTGGCACTTTAACTTTTTCTACGTTTTCCCCGCAATATTTGCAATATTTTTGTCTTTGTGGTTATCTAACACTCTTTAAGCTGCTTTCAAAACAATTTCACTCTTGCCCCTTTACCCCCTTTACGCTATATTCCATACTATTTCAACTTTCAAAGATGTCTCTGAAAAATATGCGCCTTTGGACAACCTTCGAAGATTCTGTTTCCATTTGCACCTTTCATTTCGTGTGAGGTACACCGCTGACTGACTAGCAAAGCTGTCAGCTGTTGATCGACAGTTCGTCTTAGAGCGCGTTTATACTTCGCCGCCTGATCACGCGTTCCAGTCATACGCGATCCAATCAGTCGGATAGAATCGTGAAGTGTGGATGCGCGCTCAGATTTCACTGCAAAGTTGCGTTCATAGTCGCGACCCTGGAAAGAATCGTGGAATTGTCAGTGTTGAAGAAACTGAAGAGAGGAAAGTATTCATATAGATCCGATTAATGGGAGATCAGATGCGCATCTCGTCATTTTCGCGGATTCTTAGACGCTCGCAAACCCGCGGTTCACCGATTCATCAATTTCGCAAAGTATGAACGTGAGCTGAGAAGTCACCATGAGCCGCAACTGGTGTTCCTGGTAACAGTTAGGGGATCGGTCCGTTGAACCTCTGTTGGCATTGTCTTTTTGTATAGAATATCCAGTTTTGCGAACGATTGTCATTTGGAACACGACGATGTGAAGGATTTCGGATAAGAGGTTTAGCGGTGAAGTGCACTGCAATCAATACATACTATTCTGTGAAGTTCCGCTAGATTGTCGCTGTACTTTTCATTTCAAAAGCACACTCCACTTTTACTGATCGTTGATAGTGTGGTTTGCAAACAAAAAGGTGTGCGTATCGAGTCATCAGTCATAAGACCCCTCCCCCTCCCCTGGTTTGAAGCATTGTGTGAACTCACGGTGAAGAGACAGTGGATGTGAAAAAAGAGACGCAGACGTAGAGAGTACACAGGCGAAGGAGACTACACCGACATAAGGTGACTATGAAATGAAGAAAAAGTGTGTGTTGTGTGTTGTGGCCGCAGTGGGTGGGACTAGCCTTCACTTTAGAGCCACGGAAGAGGAACATCCTTGCTACTAAGGCCTGAACTATCTGTGCAAAAAAAGGATTCCGCTCATCAGTTAGTCGTGGACTATGTCTTTGGAAAATCGCGAGCATCGATGCCGTCAGTGAAGGTCATTCAAAGTGCAATCTCAAGTTATCGAAACTAGTACAACGTTGTGGACAGTAGTCTGCAGCACGGTGTGTCTAAAGGCCGCGTTCATAGCCTGCGACCGTGAAGAAATGCAGAAATGCGGAAATTGCAGAAGTGCGGAAAGTGAGGAATCTGCAGAAATGACGAAAAGCAGTAGATACGTATCGGAAATGCAGAAATGCCGAAACTGCAGACGTGCGGAAAGTGCAGAAATGACGAAAAGCATTACATGCGTATCGATCTGAAGAAATGCAGAAATGCCGAAAGTGAAGAAGTGCGGAATCTGCAGAAATGCCGAAAGTGAAGAAGTGCGGAATGTGCAGACATGCGGAATCTGCAGAAATGAAAGCGAAAAGCAATTCATACGTATCGATTTTCCGCACTTTCGGCATTTCTGCAGATTCCGCACTTCTTCACTTTCGGCATTTCTGCATTTCTTCAAGATCGATACGTATGTAATGCTTTTCGTCATTTCTGCACTTTCCGCACTTCTGCAGTTTCGGCATTTCTGCATTTCTTCAAGATCGATACGTATCTATTGCTTTTCGTCATTTCTGCAGATTCCGCACTTTCCGCACTTCTGCAGTTTCCGCATTTCTGCATTTCTTCACGGTCGCAGGCTATGAACGCGGCCTAAAGGAATCTGTCAAAGGAAGCAACGTGGTATCGTGTCATTCTTCTTCAGCGCAGCACATTTCCGGTCGCTAATGTAATGGGGGGGGCACGCTAGATGCGATCCCTTGTCTGCTCATCTATCTCATCGTCAAGATAATATCCGAACACATCAACTGGTATTTGCACTTCACCTTCGTATTCGAACTGGTTCATTTGCTGCCTTGAGAATAATATACGGCCGTACCTTTTATGAGCTCTTTCAAAATGATCAGAAGACCAGGAAACGCAACGCCTGCCGCGTGCCCCCCCCCCCCCCCCCAAATTCGTTAGCTCCCATTGCCAATGTGCTTTGCACACATTTCAACGTAATGAAGGGCAATTTCGCAAGAGAGTGCTTTGAAAGGGGAGGTCGATATTCATCGTCGGTGACTGACGTCATGACGTTCAACAGGCTCCTTGCTGACTCATCCCTATTGTTAGTCAGCATCAAACCTGCATAAATCTTACTCGGTCGTTCAACCTAGTTTCCCAGTTGTCCATATGTGAATCCAGCCACTACTTTCCAACAAAATTTGCTTCAAGTATTCATTTTGGGATAATTGTGAATATAATTTTTTGTTAGCTTTGCCAGTAAATGTTTGGTGGGGACATTTTTGGGCGCTGTTCCAGTAAAGTAGGACATTCAGTGGTGAAAGTTGCAAAGAAATGATTGCGTGCAAGAAGGATTAGGGTTTTTTCCCTAGGGGGGGGGAAGAAGCTGCGGCTTGAATGAACAAACTCGTTTGTGCAAAAGTCGTAGTTTTAATTGCCTTGGGTGTTCTACACCAAAATTTCTCTCTTTACTGGAACAGCGCCCAACTTACAGGTCTTTTGCCTCCCTCTCGTATCAATTCATCGCTTCAGTGTTTGCTTTCTTTCTTTGAATTATGCTTCTTATAGTGTAACGGACTTTACACTGGCAGTTTTCGAATCAGATGGAGGAGGGGGAGGATTTGTATGTGTAGCTCTATTGTTACATTCAGGAAACTAGGTTTTGAAAATCACTGTAAGTAGATAAACTCGCTTGAGAATCGTTCCCTCTCTGTGGGAGTTTTCGGTACAGAAGTTTTGCAAGGGGAACAACGTCTACAACTGCACCTGCTACTAAGCCTTTAGTTACTTTTAACCTTTCCTCCTGGTCCAGAAATGTTTAATACGTCCGGAATAACGTGCCGGTTGCCCTGGTGTTCCCACGAGGCTGGTATTCAAATTTCTTGCGATTTCGCGCGAGTAGATAGAAAACCAGTTTTCGCGCGCTCGGACAGAATGGTATTATGGGTGCTGACTTAGGGTTTCTGTTGATTATCTAAAAGTATGATTCACAAAGATGGGGTTTTCCGTCCATATTTATGTGACTTTTTTGAACACATTGCAATGTGTCTGATTTGTCATTCTGTTCTTGTTTGTGTGAATTGTTTTTTAAAATCACATACCCTAGACCTCAGTTTTGCAGTTGAAACTTTGCCTTCAGGGTTTATCTGTACACTGACTACGAAAATAACGTTTTATCGATGAAGTCCTGTGGCGAAACGGCTTTTCACCAAGGGGCTGGTCGAAGGTACTTATCCAACGGACGCCGCGTATTGATAAACACAGCGCTGTTCGCCCTAGGGGGAAGGAGGGGGGGGAGTCTTTCGTGTGGCTCTATTAGCTTTGCGAGTGTTTTAGATCCTAACCTTTAGGAATGAAAGGTGAAAAAGAGAGAAGGAAAATAGGAAGGAAACCGTAGAAGCTTACTGAGCACCATTTCATAGCTTTTTAAGAATTTATAGATCTCTATGCTGATGGGAATTAGCAGAAACTCCCCTTCAGTGTTAATAGCTCCTTGAAAACTGCGTAATGTTCGCATTCAGAAACCTCGATTCGCCCAATTTGCAGTTCATATTGCGATTTTGGGAGAAAAGTCATGGGCATCACACCTTCTTTATGATAGGGTGTGGGCGCAGTTTGTCGACGGGGGGGGGCATTCTGCTTTCCATAGATGTGCCGACCCATCTAGGTAGCCTTTTCTCGAGTTGACACGTTTTAGGATGGTGGCTAGACTATCCTGCACCAGCTTCACAAGGGTTCACAAGTTTTAGGGTGAGAATTTGTGAACCGGGACTAGGGAAGAAAGGCTAGTACCCTCCCCGTCAACAAACAGCGCCTAGGGTGTGTGACAAAACACCCGAAATCCGCCGCCAACCGAAGAAAGCCATCCGCAATGCCGCTGTCTCTAAGAAATCGGGTGATTTAATTGTCTGGCCTACAAAAATTAAGAAAACGCCGCTCACATTGCCGCGCGCGAATGAGCGGCAAATTAGAACTGTCTTGACCGTCTCCCCCGAAAATGGTCTGGTCACTGAATATCCTGTAAAGGCAAAGGTTTATTTTAAAAGATGATTCAGGACTATTTGAAAAAGTGCATGTGAAATGTATCTACATCCTACCCATGAAATGAAGATCTGCGGTGCATTTTTTTAGAAGTCAGCTGTTGTCAGAAATCCAGTACCAGTTGTCTCTACTGTCATTCTCTAAGTATTCTTCGATCTTTCTTCAATTTCCAACCTTTTGCTTAGGTTTTAAGTACTGTTCTACAATAATTGTCGCGAGATAGATGGTAAATAGTATTGATCACCGCATGATTCCGAGCTGTTTAATCGTTCTCGAAGCCTTTCCAGGTATGTCGCCACCGAAGTCACCCGAGGTAATACAAGAAGATTATTATGAGCTTCTGGGCGTTGAGAAGAAATCAAGCGAGTCAGAAATCAAAGCAGCTTATCGGAAGTTAGCTCTCAAATATCATCCCGATCGAAATCCTGGGGATGTGCACGGTAAGCTCGGTTAAATTCAGGTTGTATTCTTGTGATGCTTAGTATTTACCTGGGATGATAGGCTGTCCCTTGTCTGTCGCTTTACATGGGTGAGCAGCCGATAGGAGAAAGCTCTATATCAAGGATGGATGTTATTGTGACTGAACTCCCTTGCTTCTTTCTGTCACTCGGTTCAGTCCCGAAACGTCTTGATTGGGAAGGCGCAAGGAAGCACGCGACATTTTACTCGCTTGCACTTTACGGGAGGCCAGAAGGACAGTCGATAATTCGAAGATCCCTTTGAATGCCTCTGCTTCTAGTAGACTTGCGTTCATTTCAAGGTTGAGAGAAATTTCGCGTTGTGAGTGGTAGTTCATTGGGGTTATAGGGAGAAACCTTCGGCGAAACTAGTGAGGACAAAATTAAGTAAATTAGTAATTAAAATAATTAGTAAGGATAATCGGACTAGCGGACTTGCGTCCTTTTTCAGGTTGAATTTTATTCGTATCGCTTTCCCCTACAGACGCTTTTTATTCCAGCTCAGGAACAGTTCAAAAAGATCTCCATAGCCTACTCTGTTCTCAGCGATCCCAATAAACGCAGACAATACGATGTAAGTGGACCAAGCTCTAGCCAGTTGGACTTCGAAGGCTTTGATGTGTCCGAACTTGGAGGAGTAGGTATGTGTAATCTCACACCTCATCTTTGGAGAGGGCGTGGTCGCGTACTTCATTTGCACACGGCGTAGGACGCGTTTGTCGCGCTATAATTCCATTTGAAACACCTGTCATTATGTCTTGTGCTGGGGATATGATTACAATGCTCTATCACGGAAATGCCCCAAAATGTGTTGAAGCACAGCCGCTGCCAGGTTCAAATGGAGTGTGCAGCCACGCCCTCTCCATCTCCAGATGTATGTGTAGACGCTTGAATTCAGGTCGCGTATTTGGTGCTCTTTTCAATAAACTGGGAGTTCCGATTCCTACTCAAATTGTACCAAAGGTAAATTTGTTTTCCTCCTGAACTTCAAGATTTTTAATAGAAGAATCGAAATATCGTAGAATATAGGAATAGAAAAAAAAGATATATCGTAAATAATTTGTCAGGTAATTATTTCCTGTTCTTGCTTCAGGTACTGGCCCAAGCTCGTCAACTTTGCGAGGGGTCACCCTGTGATGTTGAAGCCCGACCAATTGCTCCTGGTGAGAGCATTTCAGCTAATATTGCGAAGCAGGTCCCTTTTTTGCTTTTAATATTTTGTTTTCATTTTTTCTGGCGATACTTCGTTTGTGATTGCTTCAGTGTGATTTGGGCGCTGTGGGCGGGCGGTAGTCGCCTACGTCATTGGTCGAAGGACCAAGTGGGGTGTGGCCAATTGCCTTCTCGTAGTCCTTCCATCAATGACGCTAGCAGAGGCCGTCCGCCTCCAGCCATTGTGCTGACGCCGTTTAGTATTCTGCCTATAGTAAGAAGTGAGCTTTCAGGAAGGAGCGTTTTATAGTATTGAAATGAAGGAAGAGTACCGACAACACGGTATTTGTATCGTTTGCAAATCATCTTCGTCAAGCAAGTTCAAACTTGTTCTCTTTGACAAGGAAGGCGGTGTTCGATTAATTCAGGTTGCTGTTTTTTATCTATTATTTCGTTTTTCGGGCTGCTAACCTTTCGGAAGGGGGAGTTTGGCTAGTTTGTTAGTTCCTGTTAAAGACAGCCTCCGCGCTCGAGTAGTACATGGTCGTCCTTCCTGTGCAAGGTAGTGCAGCCCCCAAGCTAGAGACTGTCCCACTCTCGCGACTCCACAGCGAGCGAGGAGCGAGCTACAGCCGCTGAAAGTTCTAGTTCTAACGCCCGCCCAGTTGGACCGCCCACTTGCTAGATGCCTCTGACGGAGGGCAGCTCAGTTGTTCTTTGTTGGGGCGGCGGGCATTAATCGGAATTGCATGTCATTTTTGGTATCCGCGCTCGTGCCCATGAATGATTCTGCTCCTTTTTTTAAAATTTCATTCATGAGGAGCATATACAGCCAACTCAACCCATTTCGCAAGGTAAAACGCCTAAAAATCACGAGCGACCCAATTTTCGTGGTGCAAAAGCTCGACGCACCAAACTACACTAAAAGATGCACGCTACCGTAACCCTAAATTCGGACGTGGTTTTTAAAGCTTCTTTTTCTTTTCGGGAGTTTTTCTACTTTTTTCTTGTTTTTCACACTCTTTTCTTTGCATTGAATGATATCCACTACTAGGAGATGTGATAAAGGGAGTGCCAGGGGTTGCATAGAGACCGCAGCGCGGTGTGACTGTCAGGGAGCAATTTTGTTTATGGTGTTCTTGAGGACTCTTCTTGCTTTTTGGTGAATTACTTACCAGCTGATGCTTCATTACAGAAACGCCACTATTCATACTTTTATCGCGGGAACTGTCTTTAACATACTAGTCCTATTGTGGCTAGACCTACAAACTGTGAAATGAAAACGGATTTCATATATTGCATGGGTGGTTGATAGGAGAATCTTAATATGCCGCGCTGGGTATGGCGAGCGATATCGCGCGCGAGAAAGACGAGTTGTTCTGCCTCACCTCTAAATCTGAATGATAGAAGGACAGGAAAGATCGATATCACTTGGCACGATGTCTTCCTTCTGCCTGAATTTGCATATGTTTAGCTGCAGTCGACAGACTGATGCCGTTTAAGGATTCGCTGCCCACGGCGCACGAAGCGCCGCGCGCCACCGCGAAAGATCACCACCGTGTTGTCAGTCTTCCCTGTTGCATAGCTTCAAAGAGCTTGCAGCTATGCACAGAATGACTTGAGAATGGTTGGTAGGAACAAGCAGAAAGCCCTCTCCAAGGCAAACTACGCTCATTTCCCTCAGTTGATATTTTCAGAATTAATGCAGTTATTAGCTGGGTCTAGATATAATCTGTCAGTCTAACTACTCCGTTATATGTGAACTAATGAAGATCTATGCTTATTTTGAACTATTTAATAGCATTACCTAAGATAGGCAACTGCAAAAAACGAAAGTTCTGCTACAGTTCCACTGAAAGAACTGGATCTGCAGCCTCACAATGCATTTCGATGAAATCTATATTTTATAGGAAAGCCAGAAGAAGAAGTCAGCAGGCACCCAAGCAGAAATGTTTTTCGTACCGTTCACTATAGCTAATCTAGGAGAATTTGTACCGTTGAAGTTCCATATGGAAGACAGGTAAGTCGGTTCTATCTTTGCAGTTTGAATTAACGAGCAACTAAAAAATCCACTTGATAATCTTATGTTTCTGAGTGCTGGTTGCTGATTCTTAGTTTTCAGGGACACACCACTGGCGTTTCACTATTTGGATACCCTCGAAACTCAAGTCGCGCACTTACTTGACACGAGGAAACATATCCTTTGTGTATACGGAGATAACTGGTTGAATGCAGTAAAGTAAGTGCATTATACTTGGCGCTATTTTAACGAGGTGAGGAGGGTTATGGTGTCATAAAAGAAAATCAAAAGCAGCAGATTGCGTGTAGGGTTTCTTTCAACCAATGCAGGACTCCTTACCGCTCTTATCCACGCATAGATAAAAGTCCTCGTTTTCCTGACTCACCATTGTTCTTTGTAGCTTGCAGCGCCAAAAACCAGACTTTATTGGAGTAGCGCCCTGTTTTCACTGTGTGGTTCAAACGTTGTAACGTTCAATTAAAATTAAAGGCACATTCCGCGATAAAATAAGGCTACGATCTCTCAAATGTGTCGGACGATCCGGAAGGCGATTTTTGAGGCTGCGCTACTTTCAAAATGTGAAACAGCAAGAACTCCGCTAAATGCTGACTATTAGCCCATTGACACCCTTTAGGCCCATGTCCCGACCCGCCTCCGGCTGCTAGCTACTAGCTAGTAGCCACTATGTTATCTTTCTCTATAACATTTCGGACTGCTTTTTCTGCTGCTTTTCTCCGCTAATCAGATACTTAGCACTTTTTTGTGCCTATTTGAGTTCCGTTTCCCGCAATTTGCGGTCGCGAACTGTGCCTTTAAAAATTAAAGGGCCTCTTACTGGTTCTGGTGTAAGCTTAAAGACGGAAACGGAAAAGGCACTTTCCATATGCGAGGCGAATGGCTTCGCAGCTGCGGTAGCGCGACACTTCCAATCAAAATTGCCCGCAAACGGAGCTGTTGGGTAGTGGTACCCTAGTGCCCTCTTCATACTCCAGCCGCGCTTTCCTCAGTATGCATCACTTGCGTCACTACCTAGGTCGCGTAGCGAAATACGCACCCGGTGGCAGAGAACAACAAGACGTGAGAGGGTGCAGACAAGAAGCGCGTTTGGCTATGGTTAGGCGTGTGGCTGGCTGTGCGGCCTGGGTGGAGTATGGAGACGGCAATTCAAAGGCAGAGACGAAGATGTGCTCTATATCATTGTTTTCTTCATGACTCTTGCTGGAATTAACTCTGTATGAAGCTGCTACCCTTTGGTTTTCAGGTACACTATTACGTTTATGCCAATTTCTGGCGAAAGTATGGGTCCGTTTGAGGAAATTATCGAGGTATGGAAGTTGAAGGATTTTTCGTTCTTAACTTTTTCTCCATAGAATATAATTTTTCCAGTTGGAAAAGACATTGCTTGCAAAGAAAACGGAGATGGCGAAATTCCAGACAGAATACGCGGATGCCAAGAAAAAGTAAGTCTTTAACTTTATGTACCCCGTGTGCTCGAATATTTGAGACCATTCAAGATTCGAAGAAGCTGTGGAAAGGCTGAAACGAGAGGATAAGGAAATTCAGGAGAAATTGAAAGCTCGAGAAAAAGCTTATGAAGAAGTGATAGCTGCTAGTCAAGCGAAGTATATAATGCATGTAGGTTTTCAGTTCTTTTATTGTTCATTTGCCAAGTACTTTATGTAGTGTTTACAGGTTTCGCCGTCCAAGTCAGGGAGATCGTTCTTTGGAATATTCTAGTTGACCAAATGATGTTGTTTTTGGCAGGCCTTCAAAGTTTGCCGTTGTTTTCCCTTTGGATTAACCTTTTTCACTTGGCTTCTAAGTTGTACTATAGTCACTTGTTGCATAGACTTATCCAACCGTTTCCATAAACCAGGGTGCTGTTGAAGTTGAAAGGGGGGGGGCATGATGGCATGACGGAGAAATCCGTTCCCCTCTTCGGTTCTTAGGGTGCGCAGATGCCCAGAGTCTCTGCGCGACTTCTGCGCGGGGTGCAGGGTGGCAGAAATCATGCCCATGCCCCCCTCCCCTCCCCTCCCCTTCTGAGTTTTAGTTGCACCAAATCTAATACCAATCTTAGCATATCGATGTTATGAAGTAGATATGGGATCTCGTAGGCTCTGGATACTTGGTTAGGAAGACCTGATGCTCCTTGAATAATCCTCATGTTTTTATGCGTCCTGCGCTCACTATACGTGCTCCTTCAACGTTGGATAGATGCGTATATTAATGCGAACTACGAATCTACTCCCCCCCCCTCCTCCGTTTTCCATGCAAGTCTGTGGTTGCGTTTTACTTGAATAGGTTGGTGGGGCGCCTCCTGGGAGAGTTATCCTAGAAATGCTAGTAGACACATCCCAGCTTTCACTAACGATAAGTGGCTGACCCTTTCTGGTTCTCCCCTCCTCATAAAAAGGGCCATCATCGATTTCGAATGTGTTTTCCCCCAAACCTTTCGATTCTCGTGAATTCCGCCATGGCGCAGATTCAAAAGAAGAGCACAGGTTGTGAGCGACGTTCAGCAGTAAGTTTTTGGTGTCGTAGGTAACTCACAAGTTATTCGCAGTCGGATTCCATTTTATGAATTTTATGTTTTCGTAGAAGAAAGCTGGGCGCAGTTCGGCTTGGGGGGCACTGTGCACTTCCGCTTCCCACCGACATGTCGAGCAATCGAGGGGAAACCTGTTAAATTTTGTGAAACCATCAAGCGATATCAATTCAAGTTCATCGAGGTCACTTGTCACTTTTTGTTAAGAATACCTGTCAACACTTTAACGCAATGAAGATGACGATGAGAAGTAGCAAAAGTGCCTCTCCCCTTATCTAAGCTGAACTGCGCCGAAACTTGCAGTGTTTGAAACTAGAAAAAGAGTTGTTGTGTCAGTTGCGTGTATAGTAGCTAATAAGATTTCTATGCTTTAAGTCCCCTTTATGAATCCTCCCTATCCACACGTGTGAGCGGTTGTTTACCTTCCTTTGCCCACACCGAGTTTTACTGTTTGCGGTTTGTTATACTTAGTCATTTAGCAGTACAACTTTGTTTATTTTTCTCATCGGCTGGATATTTCAGTGCCGTTTTTATGTAATGATAACAAGGCTTGATTCTGTTAATTTGGCTGTCAACTATCTATAGGCTAACAAGGGAGACTGGTCTAAATTATTCGATGCTTGGTTGTGCATTTGATCAATTTCGCTTTATTGTACGATAAACTGATACGATAATTTTGGTGAGGTCTGAGAATAGGATGAATCGAGGAGAAATCAATGAGGCAAGAGAGGAGTTCAATTTGTAACACTTTAACAGCCGAGCGTCATGCTTACTATCTGAAAATCATCTGATGAGAGGTGCTGCTCTATTTCTGTTTCTCTTCTCCTGCAGTTGTACTGTATCATTTTAAGAATTATAGCCGTGTGATGCAGTCGAAACGGCAAGATCACTTCTCCGTGTTGTTTTGTCAATCAATTGTTCCTAGTAAATGTTTCTATCTGAACTCGGAAAATGAAAGAGTTCACTGGTTCGCGTGAAAGTATAGTGTGGCGAATACGGTATTATTCCCTGCTGACGCTGAGCGTGTCAGGGGCTAATTTGCGTGACGCTAGCCAGACGATGCCAAACCCAGCCCCCTGACACGCCCCAGCGAATAAAACTGTAAAATCCACAGCAGTTTTTCCACCTAACTGACAAACAGATGCTTCGTACACCCATATACAATATCAAGGAGCTAATAAGTGACATCCCCTTGCCATTGCCTTAATTTATGGTTCATGACAGAGACAGACCGCGAGTTTTCGATATGAGAGGGCAGAAGACGGGTATGTGACAAGAGAATCGTGATTCACCGCGCTGCTTGGCGTCGCGTGCGACGTCATGCCCGCAAATGACGATGGTTCCAGGTAGTAGATGGCGACAACAGGCAATTCAGAACCGAAAATAGTCATGAATGTCTACGATGGTGGGGTCTACATGAAGTCCGGTGCTCCAGTCGACAGGTTAACACGAGTTAAGAAATCGCCGCGCGCGGCAGAGCGGCAAATTGTGATTCTCTCGTCCGTCTCCCGCAGAAGACAGTCTCGCTGTAGAGCGGTAGGCGTGAGACCTAGGTTCGAGTCCTGGCTTAGACCCTGCGTTTTGCAGTCGTATTAGCAGCCGTGTGGTCAACTCCAACATTTTTTGAGCTAATCCTCTTCACACTTTTACAGCAATACTTTCCCATCCTAATTTCCAGATGCTTTTTTACGTGAGCGAGGGGGTTAGAAAAAGCATTGTTATCTGTGAAAAGACGATTTCAGTACGACCCCCCCCTATTTCCTCCTCTGGTACGACCCCCACTCTTCCCAGTGATCACGTAAAACCATATCCCCGGTAGGATTCTCCCGGCGATGCTGTACCCTGGATAGGAATCACATGAGAGTTCTGTAAATCGGAACTCCTTCCAACTTCGAACGAATCATAGTTTATTCGATGTATTTCAGGCTGTGTCCTTTAAAGGCAGTTGTCACGATAATTTGGTACTCGGTCTAATATGTTAGCAGGGTGCTATATAGTGGAGAAATGGCGAAAAAACGAAGTGAAACGGTCAAAAACCTGCGAAGAAAAGCCTTTCTTCATGACCCAATGAGCGATTAT